ACCAGTAATATCCAGCTGCCCACCTATTTTTCAATAAGTTGAACATTTGACCTACTTGACAAATGAATTGATCGACTGAAAATAACCGTTCTAGAACGGTTCTCATGTCGGTCGGAACAGAGCTATAAGTTATTTGAGTTCTTGTTTCTTTTTGGTTTTAGGTAGTTTGTAATATCAAGGTTTGATACGATAATGTTTCTTTCCATAAAAAAAATAAAACAATATCAATAATTAGAGGTGAGTTGCGATTTCACGAACTGTGACTTTGTCACTGCTACTGGTCTGTCACAGTCACAGCCTGCTCCAGTCTCACTCAAGTAGCAGTGACATTTTGTCACGGCCGCTTCGATCTCTGATCGATACAGCGCGGACTAAACTCAAGACAGTGGTGGAAATAATGAAAAAATATTATCACATATTATTATAAATCGCATCGCGGTGACGCAAAATAGAAACTGCTACTGTAGAGGGCAGATTGGAACATCTTTCTCGGTCGTGACTGCGAACTGGGCGGACTGCGATTATGTAATGTAGCATTTAAATGTATTACCAGTACGGTCAGTCAAGGATAAACTGCTCCAAAAAATCACTGCTATTTGTCACCGTGACAGGACTGGAGCAGTCACGTCTTGTCACAGTTCCAGTAAAATCGCAGGTTGGCCCACCTCTATCAATAATTTTTTGTTTGTTTCAAACTATCGATAATTTATCGATAGTTTTGATATTCACCACCATGATTATCGAAACTATCGATATTATTTTTTTATCACTATCGTCAACTCTAATTTTACTTTACCCGACGTCGGACCGGCCTATCAATCACGTGTATTGTGTATGGTAGTCATACCTACATGGTTTCTTTTTTTTTTTGAGGAAAATATATGAGAAATGGTCTCATATTAAACATGTTAATATGAGATATGAGAAACAGTTAAAATCTATGAGTCTCATATCAAAAATAGGAGGTCTAGCAACACTAGACCGAGTCGTTCTAATCACACGAGTTTTGTAGTCATGTTTAAACGCACGTGTGACGTACAACGTTTTATTTACAAAGCGAAAAATAAGAATGTTTTTTTTTCAATTATTTCCGTTTATCAGTAGTTGTCTACCTTCATTTTACCTTTACAGGTTTAACTTTGACAATTGTCAAATGACCAAAAATAGTTGTGTTATAGATTCATAGCCTAGTCCATAACAGCACTAGTTGTGGTTGTTATGTTAATGTTAATGTTAATGATCTTCCTGCAGCTGTGAAGAGTGGTCTGCACTTCCTTTGCTGATGATACCACAATAGTTTGGCATCATAAAGACACTGTCATGCTGAATGCTATGGTGAACGATGACTTAGCATGGAGACCAAATATCTTGGCTTGATTGTTGATGATCAGCTCAGGTTTGACAAACACACTGAGCATTTATATAAAAAAATATCATCAGCATGCTTTGCTGTTAGAACTGTCAAGGCTGAGCTGGGTGAATCGGTTGCTAGACGGGTGTATTTTTCTTTGATCGAGTCACATCTTAGTTATGGCATTTGCTTCTGCTTATTAACATTGTTCAACGTCATATTTGTTCTCCAGAAGCGTGCTATAAGGTCGTTATGTGGTCTTAGTCCACGGAACTCTTGCAGACCATTCTTTATAGACAGACGTATTTTAACCTTGCCTTGTATCTTGATTTTAGAATCGGTGTGTCTCATGCAGAAGAAGTACCTACTCCTCTAATATTCATGCTCCCTCCTTGGTCAATACCAGAAGTTCACATGTAATTGATCTACCAATTCCCACATCCTCGCTAACACAAAAATCTATTCACTATAGGAGTAAGAAAATGTTTAATCACCTACCCACAGCCCCCTACATTTAACAAGCCATGAAGTTAAAAAGGCAACACCGCAATCTTACCGCCAAGTGGTGCTGGTGGTGTTTGTTTGTATAAATATATATTTTTTATTTTATTAATATGAATCACAAAAAATACATAATTTATTGTACTAAAGGGCCAAAAACAGTAATTCAATGAATAATTTAACTATTTGTGTAAATAAGAAAAGTAAATAATTGATTTAAATGAATATATTTCTAGAGTCTAAAGTGTTATAGGCCTATGTTTCAGTATGTCTTTTGAAAATCTAACTTTTTCTTTCTTCGGGATTTTTTCGGAAGGCAAGTCCATTCAAATACTTGAGCTGATTTTCGAAAATAAGAGGTACCTATACTTTTAAGAGTTGGACGTTTTAGTTTGAACTCTGGAACTACGCCTTTATCCTTATTGTTTGTTTCAAATCTAATTATTTCGGTTTCTTCAAAATGTTTACAGCACACCACAGAATTTTTCGTTATTGTATAATCTCGGGTATAATTATCTTGGTGTATTGCTTTCATCCACATTTTTTGCACTTCAGAATTTTTTTGGAAATAAAAATGTTTGCATTTCTTCAGTTTTTAAGAAACTCCTAATAGTTCGATTTGCATCCAGGAACACAGGAGTTTCATGGCATCTGGAACAAGTTTAAATATCTTAGGTAATATATCGAGACCTATGCTCTTGCAGACAAATATTAATATTGTTTTTATTGTTTTACCAGTTACCTTACCTTCATTTTTGCTCCTGTACCCATTTGCTAAAAATTTGCAATCAAAGCACAAAGGAACAGGTATCAACTAAATATGGGCAATATATTGGTGTGTTTCTATCCACTTTTTCGTCAATAATGCCCATAAAAATACTAAATTGCAACAATACACAATGAAAGCAATACACAGAAACACAGAAACACATAACCCAATAACAAAATAGCACCATACGCGACGTTGCCGTCATTTCCAATTTCATGGCTTGTTAACTATAGGAGGCTGTGATAGGGTATATCCCCCTACCTCATAGCATAAGAACAATAAAGGAGAGTAAATGTTTCAAGAGACAAGTCAAAAAATTACTTCTGACTAAGGGTTTTTACTCTGTAGAGGAATACTTCTCATCTCATCTGTTTAATGGTCAATAATTTTAAGTTTTAATTTTAAGTTTGTTTTTAATTTTAATGTTGAGCAGTCTTTCGATCTATTTTATCCAGTTGTTTTTATTCCTATTTTATTCCTGTTTATTATCTTTATTTTTACGTACCTACTTTGTTGATGATTTCAATTTTAATTAGGTATATTATATTTGGAAGCTTTGTTATCAAGATTTGTATCTTTAAACAATAAAGCATATTTTGATTTGATTTGTGTTGTGAATTCATAGCCTAGTTTTATAACACCACTAGTTGTGTTATGAGTCTCATAACATAACTCAAATACTAGAAAAATGGTTATGTAAAAACGCCAAACGCTTGTAGATAAAATAATTAAAAATCGAGTGTGGACTTCCATAAAAAAACTCACACTTTTTCATACCAAATGAAAGAGTTTTACTAATTTTTCCATTAAGGATTAAGAATTTTCTATATTTTTTTATTTAAAGGGGGTGTGCGCCAAAAATTAAAGTTTTAGTGTAAAAAAATCTAAGAATAGCTGTAAAAAAATCTAAGAATAGCTCTCGTGACGTCACGAAAACTTCGTCCAGCGGCGTTCTGCATTGTTAATTTGATTGTTCCCGGCACGCGTGAGTGGTTTTTGTTTAGATTATTGCAGGTAACACAGGAAAAACATTGTGTAAATTTAATTAAATCCACTTTCTCGTGCGTCGCTTGAGCTTTCGTGACGTCATAGGGTGAGATGCGGTACCTTCATAGAGCCATATCTGCGGTATTATTTGTCATAGAGGGGTGCGGATTTCACTGTTATTCTTAGATTTTTTTTCTCTTTTTTTTGAGATGAAGTTGTTTTTTTGGCGCACACCCCCTTTAAAGAACAACATGAGGAAAATTCAAAAACTTTGGAATAAACAAAAATTAACACATCTTACGATCAAGCACTTTTCTTACCTAACTTAAAGAATCTAACTTAGTTGCGCGTACGATCTATCACAACTAAGTTAGAATCTGCCTTTCCCCTGCAAGACACCCGGTTTTTAAACTGAGATAACTTAGCTGACCTAAGTTGGCGCGAAGTACGCATTGTTTGAATTTTGACTTTTAATAATTTCTAAATTGAGATTGTTTATTTTTATTTTGTTGAAAGTTGGTCGTTGGAACAGGAACTTTGAAAAGGTGTTTAGTTTAATGAAATTTATCATTCATTATTGCCATTATGCACGCGTCATGACACTTCTAGGTAGATAATTGTTAATTTTTAATGTGAAATTAACTGTGCTGTAGTACAAAAACAATTTAGTTTCAATTTCAATTGAAAATAAATTAATAAAAACAACAAACTGAACCTGAAACTCTCGTCGTAACTAGAACCCGAACTAGAAATACGTGACGTGAGTCGTAACTTGATAGGCAGCTGATCTGGCCTATATGAATTGCGCGTACGATCAAACAACTTAGCTCAGCTAAGAAACTAACTTTAACTTAGGTAAGAAAAGTGCTTGATCGTAAGCAGCTATTATGTTGAGATCGCTCTAAGTTGAGATCGGATTGATAACAAAAGCTTTGTTCCAACACAGCCAAAACCATACAATGTACCGTCACGATTCTGCGCAAAACCTGAAATTTGTGCGTAGAATCTGAAATTCGTATGTACTGAGTGGTTTCAGAACCGTTCACGGGACGGTTTTTTGACGTGTTGAAACAGACCTAAAGTTTTGATAGGTTGAAAAAAATAATTGTTCCTTAATTTCTGATTTTTTTACTTTGAAGTGTAGTTGCTATTGAAATTTGAAACTTGAGTTTTTCTCATTCTTACCTAGCTCTTGAATTTTCTTTATTTTGATAACAAAAACACTCACAAAAACACAAATAAAATTCTGGAACCTGGAATAAACAAAAAATTAGACAAAAAAAAATTAAATGGGAAGCAAAAACAGGAAAAAAAAAAATAGAACACAAGAAATTGCAATGAAGAAAAAAAAACAAGGCATCAGAAAAAAAAAAAGAAAAAAACTGTTTTTTTCTAGGGTTTTTTACTCGGTTTTTCATCAGGATTAGGAGTGCTAATAAAAATTGAATAATTAATATCAATCTTGTCTGGATTGGGCTCTGCTATCCATCTTGCATAGAGGCTTTTGGCTGAAACTGAATTCCTGAATTATTTATAATTTATTTGCAAAATTAAATAAAACTTACCCCCGTTGACTTTTAATTATGTTTTTGTTACCTACATGATTTATAACTTTTGAATATTTGAAGTATTTTAGTTCTATTCCATTTTTTGGCTATATCAAGTGCACTTTCCTGTTGTTTATTTTTAATGCTTAAATAAAGGGCGCCGTGTTGTAGAAGTGTTAAAACAACTTGTTGCCTATTGCATAATGTAGCTAAGTGCAAGGGTGTCTCTCCATCATTGATTTGAGCATTTACATTGGCGCCATTTTCCAGCAAAGAATTTACTACTGCAGTGTGACCTCTGAGAGATGCCCAATGAAGAGCTGTTCGACCATCAAAATCTTTTATTTCCATCTCTGCACCAAACTTTAAAAGAATTCGTATTAAATGTGGATCACTATGCCAATTACAGGCATAAATTAGTGAAGTCTGTTGTTTATTGTCAGCGGCATTTACATTAAATCCATGCTCAAGCAAGATATGAACAATTGCATTATAACCATTTTCAACTGCCAAATGAAGAGCTGTTTGATCACAATTATTTTTTATGTCCTTCATTGCTCCATGGATTAAAAGTGATTTAACAGTTTCTGTTCTTCCATTACGAGCAGCAAAATGCAATTGAGTATTGCCTTCAAGAGGATCTATAGCATCCAATTTTTTCACACCGAGTGATTGCAATAATTTCTTCAAATCTGCATCTTCATTTGGTGCTTCACCATGTGAAGGCATTAGTCCATTTGATACTTCTTCCTTTATATTAACATTCGTGTCCTCATCCAAAGCTCTTGCTGAAGTCAGTTCATTTTCATTGTTAGCTAAATTATTTTCAACCTCACAAATAGTTTCATTTTTCGATAGAATCAGTGTCTCATTCTCTTTCAACAATGTATCTAATTTCAATTTAAAAATATTTGTCATTTCATAATCCATTATAATTTTTTCCAAAGGTTTTGAATTTTTCACAATAAAAATGATTTTTTTGCCATTTGCTTTAATAATGTTTATCCACGATTCCAGTGTACGGGGTTGTTTACCTAATTGCTCCTCATTATCCAAAATGCAAACAAACAGATCAGGAAAGTTCTTCTGAAAATCTTCAATTTCTTCTAACGACAATGTATTAAAACTACCAAAATCAGTAAAAATTATCTCATTCAAATTGTCCCTTAAAATTGAGTCTTTTTTGAAGTTTATTAATACTTGAGCTAGTAGAACTCGTGTAACATCGACATCTGTAGTTTCTAGACACAATATGGAGCCATCATTTTCTAGTAAAAATCCTTTGGTCCCATTTTTTAGGGCAAAATCTGTTTTTTTTAAATTGTAAAAAAAAGCTTGAGAATTGGCTTTTATAGTGGCACTTGTCTGAACACAATCAACCATTTTTTAATAATTTTTTTTTCAAACCTATTTTACTTTCTATTTTTATTCTTCACTCACAATAAATCACTTCACTTGTTGCTGAATTGTTTATTTTTTATCAACAATATTCAACAATAACAACAACAACACAAAACACAACTCTAACTGGGTCTGACAAGTGACAAGTGACAACACAACTTTGCCAGCCGCTTTACGTATGGGAGTATGACGCTCGGAGCTACTCGGAGCGTTGATCCCCCGAGCTATACGTACAGACAAACGTCAGACGTCATGATACTGGAACGGTACAAATCTAGTGCGTGGCGCTCCCGGGGACCGGGGACTGGCGGCCAAGAATCGTATACTCTACAGGATTGCTCAATCGGCTAAATTTGTTCACAATTGCTGTGACGTCACGTGCATCCCGGATTTTCAAGATGGCCACTGATACGAATGATGTTCAGTTTGAGCTGCCAATTATTTTATCGTAAATTCGGATTTATCAAGTGTTATTAAGTGTAATTTAAAGTTTCATTTAATGTGTGTAAACATAAAAGACTCGTGGCTGAAAATACTCGCGAAAACCTATGGCGAAAACCCCAAGCATTTTCTGGTTTTAGTGGTTTTATAATACTGGATTTGTTGTATCAGGACATCGCTTTCTTTTATTCGTGTGTATTGCTAGTTTTCTACTGTTAGTATTTCCTAGTCAAGCATTTGTATTGCTTTTTTTTGTAAATCAAATATCTACTTAGTTGTAAGTTTCCTTTGCATGTAATTACTAAAAATTAGTGTTGGTGGAGAGTGAATAAATAAATATGTAAATAAATTACTCTACTGGCGCGTTTACTATGAAAACGCATGGAAAATATGGGAAACTTGCAGTGTTTTTCTGGAATATGATTATGAAAATTTAAATTAGGTATCACTTTGGATTTGTGGAATAAGCTTACTCTGAATGTCCATATTAAATCGTTCTAAACTATTGAATAATAATTGAGAAGTAGGTAAGGACAGTAAAAAATAAATCACACTATTTCAACCACGTTTCGCTTATATTTTGATATTGAAATGCAAAAATTAAACCCGCTCGCTCAAGTTGGCACCCCACATTTGGCTTTCTAGCCTTTCTACTGTTTCTCAATTGTGCCCGTTTTGTGCTCAATTGTGCCAGTATTTATGCGAATTGTGCTCATTTCCATACACAAAAAAAAAACATTGAAACAAATTCGGGGGCCAGCTTGACACAAGCCCATTGTTTTTTTGACTTTTTGGCAATATGTTTGGCTAATTGATAAACAAAAGCAAACAAACTCGTCTTCTTAATTAGCCAACCACTCAAGACTACAGTGACTCTATTACTCACAGTGGCGACAATTGCTGTCTTATTTTTGATTGGTTCTAAAATCCTATATATTTATATCGAAAACGCGGCCATCTTGTTCCCATCTATTGCTTATTTCAAATATGAATATATGGGATTTAGGTGAACATCCATCATAAAACATGGAAAACAAAGTATTTGATGCCATTTGATGGACCTAATAATAATCATCAAATACGTCGATTTAAATTTTTTATGAAAGATGTCCATTTAAAACCTATAAATTCATATTTAAAAGTAACAAGAGGTTGGGAACAAAATGGCGGCGGGACCTCTATTGTCGCCACTGTATGTAAAGGTTTATTTAGCCACTGTACTCAAGACTCAAGGACACAAACTTTTGAAGTCTGCTAATTTTAAAATTAATAAATATAATTACAAAATACAGTTTTCTAAGGAGATAACCTCAAAATAACAATTTTTCACGTTTGGAAATGCAGGATAGTGCACTGTCATAAAACACAAACCGATCAAGGACTGCGTGACGTCATTCGCATACCGCCATCTTCGACGTTTTTATGAACGTTTGTCTGGGATTGAGCAATCCTGTAGAGTTTACGATTCTTGACTGGCGGCTAGACATAGGATCGCAATCCAATGTTGCCAAATCCTCCTTTCATAAAGCGCCAAATTTAAAATAGATTTATATTGCGGATAATGTTACAATAATAAAACAACAACAACAAATAAAGTCTCGCATGATTAGTAGGTAATAAATTAATCCTATTATAGATATTTATCTTATAAGGATCATAATCACGATCATTATGGTATTAGCCGTGAATATTATCAGACGAGGCGTCAGCCGAGTCTGATGATAAGACGGCGTGTGCCATAATGATTGTTTATAATCCAAATTTCACACAATATTTTAAATTCCAGAAATTGTAAATTATTTTAATCGTTAAATGTTGTCTTCAATAAATTTTTCATATTTTTGCTTACTAAACCTACCTATATTTTTTTCTCATTATAGTACTTATAATGAGATCTCATTATACTACTTAGTACTAGTACACACCATTCGTATTCGTGCTCTCAAAAAAATTAGAAACAAATCGTACACAAATCAAAAATACAAGCAACAAGCGAGCTACTGAATACAATATACAATACTACTAGCTTTGTTTGTTTATTTGCACCAAACTCCAAAGAGATCAATGAAAAAGACAGACTGACAGAGACAGCCAAACTTGGCTCAATGGGGTGGGCGGGCACGCGCCTAGCATCGAAATCAATTTGGCAACGTTGGATCGCAGTCCTATGTTTAGCCGCCAGTGGACCGGGGTGGTCCAGAGCGCGCCAATGTGCATACTCATACTGGAAACAGAGACATGAGTATGAAATGGACTGCGTGTTCCGTATAGTTGCCGTACGCGGCAGTGATGGAAAGATGGTTAGGCAACCAGTCTTTCGCATTGTGGGCAAGAAGCTACACAACCGCATTACCCGCAACGAGAAATAACACATAATTTCATTTAAAGGTGACATATAATTACTTTTTCTACGACTGCTATGTAAAACGTTAAAAAACGCACGCCAAAGTCAATCTGAAAGTGACGTTTTGCACACACCGTGCGCAAATTTTGTAGTGTGCAATCTTTGCGCACGCTTTCCTTTAAGGTGAATCTCCGTATATCTGGTTGTCGCCGCGTAACCAGAGACAACAACATTGTCAACAATTGTCTCTGACGTAACGTATTTGTCATGTCATATTGTTTGAAAAGTCATTCAATTTAAATATAATTTCCTTTAATTTTTTCCTTAATCTTCGGGTAACGGAGCACACAATTAAATCCACCGATCCTTTCGAACTGACGCAGCAAGCCGCACATAGGGGAGGGTGGGCCACGTTGAGACAGTTTTTACTTTTTTGGGGATAAAATTGGTAATTTTAATTTTTTCGGTACAGTTTCGTAAGCCTCATAATCCTTCATCTTATTGCACAAATTTTTTGAATAAATTATTGACACAATGTTATTTATTTGATTTCACAGAGGAATCTAAGAAAATCTGATTTTGTCTCAAGGTAGCCCATGAGGTGGGCCACTTTGAGACATTCATAAAAACCGAGAAAAAAGGAGGAAAATAGGGTTTATTCATAAATAATACATCGTAACGAGGGCGGTAATATCATTTTTCTTCATTATTTTATGTTTTTTCAACATATCTTGCAAATGTTTGATGTTTCACGTTGTTTTTCTCTGCTGCAATCCTCAGAAGCTCAATTTATGTTTAATCACATCTTCGACAGCCCTTTCTATTGATTCGGCACTAAACAGGCCTTCTAGAGATTTTCTTTTGCATCCCCGTGACATGTTTTGAGCAAAATATTTTTTCTTAACATTTGAGACACGTCCCAAGGTGGCCCAAACTTCGTGTCTCATTGTAGCCCATGGTAGGTGTGAGTTACAAACCGCAATATTTTGGTAAAACGTGAAAAAATCGACTCGTAATATATGTAAACAATGAAATTAATATTTACCTATTGTTTTTGGAAACCTCAGAACAAAATGAAAGTATAGGGTGGTCCAAAAAAAACCGGAATTTTGTTTTTGAGCTGTAACTTTTTTATTTGTTGACCAATTTTCTTTTGTTTTGGCTTGTTTGAAAGAGAAATGAACAGACTAACGGATCAAGGTAAAACTTTTGACATTTGAAAAAAATCCAAAATGGCGGACTCCTTCAAAAATTGCCTATTTTTGGATAGCGCTGGAACTTTTTTGTGACACCCTGTATAAGTTTTTTTAATAAATTCTTAAAGTTCATCATTTTGCGAACATTTTAAGACCTTGGCAGAAAAAATCGGTTGAAAACTAAGTGAAATATTGAATTTTTTGTAATATCGAATTTCACTTTTTTATATTGACAGCAAAATCTGGGATATGCTATTTCAGCTAGATTTTTTTTTCTACTCGACATATTCTTTCTATTTCGGGCTTGTTCGGAAGATAAATAGATAGGGTACGGATTCGAAATGAAGATTTTGACTGGTTGAGAAAAAATTAAAGATTTACCAATTCCTTCAACATAGCTAATTTTGAAAAAATTAGCGTTAAGTTTTCTAACAATACGACCAATATTTTTTTTATAAATTTTAAAAAATAAAGTAAACACATTTAAGGAGCGATATGCCCTCCGTGGGCCTCAACAACCTATGCTAAACGTCTACGCCAAGAATCGATAAAATTGGCAATGTGACATTGTTCCAGCAGTTCTTCCCAACACTCAATGATTCGGTTGCGCAGCTCTTCTAAATTATTGAACGTAGCCCCACTTCCGTGGACTTTTTCTTCCGCCTTATATCACCCTATAAAAAGTGTAATCGCAGGGATTCAAAACTGGGCTATAAGGCGGCCAGCGGCCAGTCCCGTTGACTGGCCGCTCTATAAAATTCGCAACTTGCTCTCTTAGATAGTTGACAGTAAAGAATAATTAAAAGTGATTTAATGCTGAAGCATGTTGAACGGGACTACACATTTGAACTGTCCTAATTAATAGATTTAGTGCCCGTGCTGAAATCCGAAAAATCTGGTTCAGTGATGGGAAAATTTTCACCTTATCCGGAGTAAAGAATTCGCAAAACGACCAAGCTCGAAAAGCAGATAGAGGAAGAGAAAAATTCAGCAGTTATTTA